TTACTAGTTAAAGTTTATAATAATAAAACATATATACCATAATTATGTAACTCAATTAATTATTTTACTATGTAATTGTAATTGTAAGCCTTTATTATTGTATCATTTACTAAAAATGTTCCACGAATTCCCTTCAATTTCTCCAATTTGCTTAACGATATTTAAATTTACTCGGCTGTTGTTCATGTTTCCCATCAATTGTTCAAGTTTTCAATATCAAACCAAAACAAAAGTCAGCAACAGCACCAAACGAGGTCAGCGAACAGAAAGACGGAGCAAGTGTGTGCGAAAGAGATAGAGTGAGAGAATGACAGAGAGCGATACGCACAAAACACAAACTATATGTATATATGTATCAAGTCGAGGGTCGCTCAGCTAAACGAATATGCTCGCCTGGTACTTTGTGCCTGTATATTATCGATCATGTTTTAAAAGCGAAAGTGAAGCAGTGGGACGACAGCCTGGGCAAGGGTAAGGGTAAGGGCATAGCAGGGGCGGGGCATGGCAACAGCCATGTATATAAATTTACTCGGGGTATGATAATTGTGTGCAACACTACTGGCCCTCAATCTCGTGTCGCCGCTGTTGATATAAAAAAGCTTCACGTTTATTTTTTTCGCCTCTGCTTTTGCTGTTGCTACTGCTGCTGCTGTCGCTGGTGTTGCTGCTGCTGCTGCGGCTAGCTGCTCGCCTGTTCCATAAACAAAGCAAGCTATCGATTTCTACATAAAAAACGAAAGTATTGGCCACATACATTGGCCTGGCCCTGGCTGCCAACTGGAGGCCGGGGTCGGGGTCGGGGCCGCGGCCGGGCCCTGGCATACAGCGTATAACCCAGTTTTGGGCAAGGGCAAGCGCGTCGCATTGACCCCGGACGCGAAGTTCAATGAAACGCAGGTAAATGCCCCAGAATGGTGTCACGTTCAGGGACCGCCCCTGACCCAGCGACAGCAGCAGCGACAACGACAGCCGCAGCACAGCGATCGACGCTACGATTGAAAGAAAAATCAGACGGCTGTTGCGTGTAGCAGGCGCGCAGTCGCTGGCAGCAGCTGCCACTCGCATTTACAGTTGCTTTTTTCGGCAGTTCAATGAACTGCATACGCTCGAAATTTTCAGAGATCGTTGACCGCACAGCGGAACGCAACAGCAGAGTGAGCGAGAGAGAGAGAGAGAGTGTGTAAGAGCAACGAACTGAGAACGCGTGGCGGCAGCGACAAAGGGAGCGGCAGAGGCAGAGGCAGTGGTGGCGGCGGCAACGTTAGCTGACATCAGCGCGATCGCTTACACTTGTTGCGCACCAGAGCGAACGAGCGCGTGAGCGGCTGTGAGTGCAAGTGGGAGCGAGAGAAGGCGACGCGAACGACAGCAATTGGCTGACGCTTGAAGGCTAGAAAGCCGATTGGGTTAATATGAGCACACGAGAAAGTTGATCCAAAGTGATGGATAAATCGAAAGACACAAAATATGTGAATTAAATATACATATAAAATATGAGATTTACGGAATTATTTATATATTAAACTCAACTTTTGGGAAATTTATGTTATATTTATTTGAACGACCATATAAAAATAAATTATATTTATTTTTGATATGATATGATATTGATTTTAAATGATATTTATATATTTAGACACAAAATATGTGAATTAAATATACATATAAAATATGAGATTTACGGAATTATTTATATATTAAACTCAACTTTTGGGAAATTTATGTTATATTTATTTGAACGACCATATAAAAATAAATTATATTTATTTTTGATATGATATGATATTGATTTTAAATGATATTTATAT